CACACACACTGAGGCAGGCGCGAGCGTCACCCCTCCTCCACCCGCCGCCGTTGTTGTGGAGTGCCGGTGCACCTTGAACAGCGTGGGACAAACCACAGGGATGTGGTGCATGAGTATTGGCACTCCTGGTCCTACCTCCCTCTCTGGACCGGCCGGGCCCTTGCACCTGGCAGCCGTCCAGTGATGCCGAGCAGACAAGGGTATCGTACACACCACGCTCGCTCTCTCTCTCTCTCTCTCTCTCTCTCTCGCACACACACACACACACACACACACACACACACACACACACAGGTGCCAACCACACGCAAACACATCAATGTGTTGTAGCCAGGTGGGATATATACAACGACAAACTCTGGACACGAAAAGGGACGAAGACTGGCGAGCCCCAAACAAGAAGCTTTTGGGCAGGGGATACAGGTAGGGATAAGTCACTTCCGTTCGAATAAAAATAATTAGAACGCAATTAGGGCGGCGACGCACTCAGAAGCAGAAGGTATTCCAGCGATGAATTTGATGAGGTTGTTGTATCCATGTCCATTGTTGTTTCTTCTTGAATAATCTTGAATAATCACACACTAATACTATCACAGACGATCACAGACGACGTTTCGTTTCCTTGGTTTCGTTTTTTTTTTTTTTTTGAAGTTTTCGTAATTTTCGTGGCGCTTGCTCGGGCTTGGGCGCGCTACATGGCTCGGGAGTTGCGTGAGCTCGCAGCCCTTGCGGGCGACTGACTGGGTCCGGGCCCCCGATCAGCTGGAGCAGCGAGCAGCGACGGTTACAACTTTTTTATCCCCACCCCCTGCTTCCCCCACCGCCACCAAAAACGCGTAAAAAATGCACAATTGGGAGGCGCGTTGCGGCGAAAAAGTGCACGATCACCCCCAAAGCTGGCCTAGGAGTGGGGCGCGCGCGGGGGTAGGCGGTCCTCCCCAGGGGTGGCACCAATGAGCGGCCGTCTGGAGGGGGTGGAGGGGGCTGGGAGCGAACCAGCGAGCCGCCGACTCCGCGGAGCTTTGCCGCGCCGCCGAGAGAGAGCGCCTCGCCACTGTCGCGGCGAGCTGTCCCTCGTACAAAAAAAAAGTTTGACAACCCGACCTGCCCGCCAGTCGCTGGAGATGAAAACTTCGAAATCAGGAGAAAGTTGACATTATTTTTTGTTACGTAGCCTCATGTAATATTTTTATTTAGTTTCAATCTTGAATTATAAGGCTTTTATTTTTTATGGGGGTAGAGATGA